GCTTGACAACCCCTGTACTCATTTCTAAGAGAACCTTTACCCCAGCCTCCGTAACACAAATTCCAAACTTCTGATCCAAACTACTCCCATATTTTCAGGACACAATCTCACCTTTACTCTAAAGGTAAAGTCTAGTTCACTCACAGCAATGTACTTCAATTTCCCTTCCTTTCTTCCTTATCCTGCTTTATAGTTTCTTTTTCTGCCTATTCCTTCCTACTGTTTCCATCATAACACCTTTATTATCTTTTTTCTGGATGTCTCTCCTTTCAAGTCAAAATCCCCTCCTTTGAAAAATCATAGATCCTCCCCAATTTCTTTAATTCCTGCATCTAATTCTATCATTTTGTCTTTCTGTTTTATCTCAACCATTTTTTTTTTTGGTGATACTGAGGTTTGAACTCAGGGCCCTGCACTTGCTAGGCAGGCCCTCTACCACTTAAGCCATGCTTCCAGCCCTCTGTTTTCTTTTCTTACCAAATGCTTTGAAAAGATGGTCAGCTTTATGTCCTCCTCCTCTTCTTATTCTGTGATACCTTTCAGTCAGGCAAATGCTTACTCCATGTAACTAAAAATAATCTCTGGAAGGACACAGAAAATCTCAGGATTCCCTAAGGATTCACTCTGCTCAGCTTTCACATGTCATCTGACCCTCATTCACATGTATTTCAATTTCTCTTACCTTTGACATCTGCTATAATGCATTATATTTTCCTTCTGTTTGCAACAGCCATTCCTTCTCTGCTTTCTTTCTTGTTTGTTACACTTGTTTCCAGTTACAAAAATACAGAAATTCCCCCACTGTCATCATCAACCACAGCTGTTTCTTTTCTGTATCCTCTATGCTAGGAGTTTCAGATTTGTCCATGATTTCAACAATTTTATCTGAGCAGATGTAACTCAAACTTACAAATGTAGTCTAAACTTTTGTTCAAAGTGCTGATCCATATTTCAAATTGCTCCGCATTTTTAACCGGCCTTTCTCTTGCATCTCAAATTCAATGTGTTCTAATCTGCTAAATTTTGCTACTTCCTTATTTCCAGCCCCACTTTTAAAACTACCATATGCTTAGATTCCTTTCACTCTTTCCTCCAGCATTCCCTCTGTTCTCAAACCCTGCGGATTCTGTCAGTCCAATATCTGTCTCTGGATCTCTGGGGTTCCCATTGCCTCTCCTTCTGTTAAGCTCCTCCTCACCTCTAACCTGACTTGACACAGAAGACTGACAGATTCTCTCAGCCTGTAATTTCTGTCTCTTCCCATCGCTCCTACGAACTGTTGCCCAAGTATTCTCTTAACCCCATAATTTTATCACTCCTTTCCATGATCAAAATGCTTTAATATTTTCCTACTGCACACAGGGTATTAGGGTTAGAACTGGAAAGGTACTTGTAATATAACTTAGTCTACCCATTTTACAAATGAGAAAACTAAAACTCTAGACTTTAGAAAATACACTGAAGATTTTCTGACCCTACCCATTGAACTCTTTTTTTTATTATTATTCATATGTGCATACAAGGCTTGGGTCATTTCTCCCCCCTGTCCACACCCCCTCCCTTACCACCCACTCCACCCCCTCCCTCTCCCCCCCACCCCCTCAATACCCAGCAGAAACTATTTTGCCCTTATTTCTAATTTTGTTGAAGAGAGAGTATAAGCAATAATAGGAAGGAACAAGGGTTTTTGCTGGTTGAGATAAGGATAGCTATACAGGGCATTGACTCACATTAATTTCCTGTGAGTGTGTGTTACCTTCTAGGTTAATTCTTTTTTATCTCACCTTTTCTCTAGTTCCTGGTCCCCTTCTCCTATTGGCCTCAGTTGCTTTTAAGGTATCTGCTTTAGTTTCTCTGCAGTAAGGGCAACAAATGCTAACTAATTTTTTAGGTGTCTTACCTATCTTCACCCCTCCCTTGTGTGCTAAAGCTTTTATCATGTGCTCAAAGTCCAGTCTTCTTGCTGTGTTTGCCCTTGATCTAATGTCCACATATGAGGGAGAACATAACGATTTTTGGTCTTTTGGGCCAGGCTACCCTCACTCAGAATGATGTTCTCCAATTCCATCCATTTACCAGCGAATGATAACATTTCGTTCTTCTTCATGGCTGCATAAAATTCCACATTTTCTTAATCCATTCGTCAGTGGTGGGGCATCTTGGCTGTTTCCATAACTTGGCAATTGTGAATAGTGCCGCAATAAACATGGGTGTGCAGGTGCCTCTGGAGTAACCTGTATCACAGTCTTTTGGGTATATCCCCAAGAGTGGTATTGCTGGATCAAATGGTAGATCAATGTCTAGCTTTTTAAGTAGCCTCCAAATTTTTTTCCATAGTGGTTGTACTAGTTTACATTCCCACCAACAGTGTAAGAGGGTTCCTTTTTCCCCACATCCTCGCCAACACCTGTTGTTGGTGGTGTTGCTGATGATGGCTATTCTAACAGGGGTGAGGTGGAATCTTAGTGTGGTTTTAATTTGCATTTCCTTTATTGCTAGAGATGGTGAGCATTTTTTCATGTGTTTTTTGGCCATTTGAATTTCTTCTTTTCAGAAAGTTCTGCTTAGTTCACTTGCCCATTTCTTTATTGGTTCGTTAGTTTTGGGAGAATTTAGTTTTTTAAGTTCCCTATATATTCTCCCATTAAACTCTTTATGTTATTATTTTGCCTTTGAAAGCAAAACACTGACTTTCTGTTTCTGAGTTTACTCTGTACTCTGAACAAAAGAAAATAAGCTTAGGTCAGTCAACCCACCACATTTTTTAGCAGACTTGGCAATTTTTTAATTACCCATCCAATTGTGAGTCTGACACTATGGTGAAACCTACTTGGTCTTGTGCCTAAGTTGCCTCTCATGGGAAAAAGAATGACCCAGCTTCATAAAGTTGAAAAGACTTCTTAGTCATCTGGCATAGTTATCCTAAACAAACAGCAGGCACTGGTGCTTCATTGCAGGAAGGGAAGTGTAATAAGAGATGGCAGGGGCACACACACAGTTAGGAAGAAACGGCTTCCAAACTGACATATAAGACATCTCCACATTCCCATCCCATGCCCACAAATAAGAGAAGAAATGCTCAAAATTTCACAGGTAGCAAGAAGTGCATTTGCATTAGTATCTTCTCAGTTCTGTACTCCAGGAAGGCTTTCCAGACATTACAGTTACATGTCTTAGCCATTTAATTTTCGTTTTGTTCACCCATGTATTATGGTTGCTGTTGTTATTATTATTACATATAAACATTACTAATCACAAGGGTACGATGAGATTAGGTTAAAATAAGATTTTTTGAGTTTTCAAAGATATAATGTCAATTCTTTGTAGCACGTTTTACTTAATAATTTGCTTGAGACAATAGACTAGCTTACATTTATTGTAAAACTCACAAGCATAAGTTTAGGCTGAAATGTATGGGATTGTATATTGCCATAAGTTAACTTCCAAGTCTCAATTTCCCCACCTGTAAAAGGAGACAAGAACAGTAGCAACCACATGTATTTGTAGTGAGGATTAAATGCATAGAAATTTCTAAACATATTGCCTAGTATGTAGTCATCATTCAGTGAGTTGTAGAATGATAATTATAATGATTAGCATTATAAGATGGATAAATAATTCTCTTTTCACACTACTTATATTAAGCTTAAATACATGTTTTCTTGAATTATCAGTCATGACAATTTTTAAAAGATATGTTCTCAGAACCCAAAATTCTACATTTTCTTTAAGGATGAAATTAAAACCAACTATAAAAAGTAACAAACTAAATTTTAAACTTTCCTATTATTAGCATTTTTAATACAATCTATAATTTTCTTATCTCAGTGACTCAGATTAATCTGATTATGATTATCATTTTTATACTTTGCTATTATGAAAAAATTCAATTAGAAGTTGAACATTTCTTATTTAGGAGGAGACAAAAACTAAAAATGTACACACCATCTTTAATTGGTTCTGCAATTTAAAACAACAAATACAAACTTCAAATTCATACTTAATTTTTAAATATATATTTTACAATATCTTAAACAAATATATATATGCATAATATACTTGATACATGAATGTCTACATCTTAAGAAGTGTCTGTGGTTTTTAAGAAAAAAGTAATTTAAATCATCCTAATGCTTCAAATCCAGCGTAATGATCAAATCCAGAGCTTAAACTAGGCAGAACTCTGTTTGACTACCTCTTTTGTTTGACCAGAGGAATTATTTAATGCAAGAGAAATGGCTAAGGAAATTCTAAACCCAGAAATTTGTCCCTATGTGCTTGCATTTTTCTCTCCTTGCTATGCAAGGATGCATTTGTATCATTGATAATGGTTTCAGTGCTAACAATAAAATCAAATGCTAACTCATTTTTATATAAAGAAATATTTCAATTTTTATTTTCATATTTCAAAGCAAGCGTAAATATCATCTCAAAAATTTTCAAAATACTAGAAATCTTCCATCTAGAATTAGAAGGTGAAGAAACAAATATTCTGAATATTTTTGAGTATTTTTCTGCTTCCTATCCCATCTTTGCTTTAAATTCTTTTTAACAATTTTCTATTTGAAGCTTGTTGGGCCCTGAAAATAGCCCAAAATTTTAGTATAACAGCTGATTGTCAACTGTCACTAAATAGCAACAGAAAATTTCCAGCTTCTCAGTCACAAAATTTACTATAAGAAATCCTGAGTTTCCAACTCTCGTCCCCCTGGGTTCTAGCTTCAAGTATCCCACCAAAGTGATCTTGAGTATCTGCACAAGGTGTGAATGAAAAAAAAAGGTTAAAAAAGTAAAAGTAATAATGAGAAAAAACCTGAGGGGCAAAACAATAAGAATTCTTAGCATCCACCAGACCCAGGAGGTAAATCAAATCCACCTGCAGGCAGATTGATAAAATAATTCTACTGACTCACAAGGCTGCTTAGTTTTTTATGATTGGATAATACAGATATTAAAGCATTCAATTCAAAATTAAGCATTGTGATTATCTATTTTTATAGGTGGTGGTGGAAGTTAACAGTGAATTTCGAATCCAGGTAAGATACAGCAGATCCATTTTTTTTTTTAATTAAAACACAAAGGGCTGGGCCTGGTGGCTGGACCCATAATCTCTCACTCTGAAGGCTAACACAGTAGGATTGAGAGTTGGAAGTCAACATGGGCTGCCTAGCAAGACAAAAAAAACAACAACAACACAAAAGGAGAATGGTCTGGGAGTGACAATATATGTTCTAAAGAATATTTATTCTTTTTTTTTTGAGGCACTGAGGTTTTGAACTCAGGGCTCACGCTTGTTAGGCAGGCCATCTTACCACTTGAGCCACTCTGCCAGCCCTTTTTTGTGTGTGTGATTTTTCTTTTGTGAGCTAGGGTCTCACATACTATTTGCCCAGGGATGTCTTCAAACTGCAATCCTCCTGATCTCTGCCTCCTGAGCAGCTAGGATTACAAGTGTGCCATTGGCACCTGGCTAATGTTAAAATTAATAGATTATCAAAATTACTAATTTTTCCAATCAAACATCCTTTTTTTCTAATATAATCACCCCTCCTCCAAAATCTCCAATGGAATACAAATTATAAATAAAAGTTAATATATACTATTACTTTATCTTACTCTTTCAAGGTAAGAGATTACAACACTAAAAATGGCACCATCAAATGGCATTCAATAAGAAGGCAAAAACGTGAATGGATCAAGTTTGCTGCAGCCTGTCGAGAAGGCGAAGACAACTCAAAGAGAAACCCAATTGCCAAAGTAAGTGGATTGCGAAAGCATAAAACTGAAAGTCAAAACGGATGGGTCAAAGTTTGAAAGAATCTGTCTTTTACATATCTTATGGACTTATCTCACTGAGAAGTTGTGATACAGAAAAGAGCTATAATTATTTAGATTATGAAGACTAAAATTCCTAAAGGGGTAAATTGAGAAAGTTAGGTACTCAGATAAGCAGCTAAGCCTTGATTCATCTCACTGACAAAATGAATATACATGAACATGTATCACCTCAGAGTCTAAATGAAAAAAATATAGTGATTCAAAGAATGGATTCAGCCTTCAACACGCCCAGAGGTGGTACGTTGCATGTGATCTTACTACTGTAAAATTTAGTAGAGTCGAATTTCTACTTTCGTCTTTATTTCTGAATGTGAATGGATCAAGTTTGCAGAATCAAGAGCTTCAAAAAGCCTTTGTTACCTACATAAGTCCACTCAAAATTTTCTCCTAAAACTTTGCCTTAAAGTTTTAAAATCTGAAGATCAAAGTTATGTAACGACAGTATTAATAAACTCCCTAAGACTATGCTACTCTAGACAAAGTACTCACAGGATCAACTATAGACCGAGATGTATTAGGTTAACATTTTACTTTTTATTGTTTTGTAGAAATAGAAATTGAATTTTTTTATTGTGCTGTCAGTTGCCATGAAAAATACTATAGTTATTATACAGTTACTTTTGAAAACACAATAGTTATTTCACTTATCTAGGAAAACAATTCTCTGTTTTCAAACATTTCCCAAATAATGCAAGCACTGCACCGTCAACACTTATCAAGAAAGGTAGCTGTCATATATCAAGCATAGAACTCTTTATTTCTCATGTGATATTTTCACTGTGTTCTTTCTGCAGATTCATTCAGATTGTGCTGCAAACCAACAAGTTACCTACCGCATCTCCGGAGTAGGAATTGATCAACCACCTTATGGAATCTTCATTATTAATCAGAAAACTGGTGAAATTAATATAACATCCATAGTTGATCGAGAAGTCACTCCTTTTTTCATTGTAAGTGGTAACAAGTTAACATATATGTTAAGGCCTAAGTTACTCTTGGAAGATATTAGCTCATGCTTGATTTGATTTCACGAGTCTCAATATTCGGTATTTTTGGTGTCTCTTAGTTCACAAGAATCCCAATAGATACTGACAAAATTAAGAGAAAAAGATGTGTAGCAAACATGGCAATCTCTATAGTCAGCTCCCATGGCAAAAGCAGGGTATTTGTTTGGGAGTTAGAGTATCCAAATTTTACTCCATCTTTAAAAAAATTTAGTTGAAAATGTTTGCTCCTTCTAACTCTGATGCTATTAATGATTCTGGAGCCAACGAAGGATTCTTTTTTAAATGAAGATAATGTGTTATAAATCCACATTGCTCATGCTCACCTCCGGTTTTTGCAAGAGCTGCCACACTGCTTAAGAATCCTCTTTCTTCAAACCCTTAACCTCACTTCAGTTTAAACAGCTAACCTCAAGACCAACTTTATTTAAAAAAGGTTGAGTCCACCAATCTCAACTGAATTCTCTCCCTCCAACTCAGAAATGTTCTCCATTAAATGCAACAGCAGATCCATTTTCTGCTTTTCCCCACAGCTTGTCCCAAGACATTCCCATAATTATCTGTTTCTTCAAGATCCTTATACCATCAACTTAATTTTTTTTCATTTCTCTTCTGTTTGCCACATTAGCTAGTCCATTTTCATCTATCACCATGGGAAACACTTTTTAATACTTAAAAAAAATGAAACTAAAAAAACTTCTTTTGATCTTCTAATATCTTCTATTAAAACAGCAGCAATCCATACTCCCAAACACCTTTGAATAGTAATCAACACTTGTTGCTTTTGTTACAAGAAGTTTTAGACCCGAGGCCCCAATGCTGAGTTTTGTAAGTCAGATGCAAATACTTTTCCCAACACATCAAACACAAAAGATGAATAATGGTAAAGGACAGAGAAAGGAAGTTTATTATATGACATGGGCACCTGTGGGAGGGTGTAGGCCATCTTTTCCAAGTAGACATTTGCTTTAGGTTTAAATAGGAGGAAGAATTGGAGGCATGGTAGAGGTTTGCATAATTGTTCAACAGTCCCCAGTCAAAGGTATATTCCTGTGGTCGTAGATGACAGTCACAGATGAACTGGCAGCTCATTGTTTCAAGACTGGTCAGGTGGGCTGTTATTACAATAAGAGTCATTAACGCCTAGCAGGTTGTCTGGTCCTTCTTGGGATCCAAGATAGCTGCAAAGTGATGGTAGAAGAGAATGTCTCAGAACAAAGAACACAGATTCACAATGGAGGCTGAAATGACTACCTTTTAAGCCTCCATTACACTTTTATTTGGTTCATTTATATTACTAAGAATTAAAATTCCTTAGCCTTCAATTCCAAATCTATAATCCTAGATTTTTCCATGATGTTTTCCCCACAAATACTCTTAATTTAACAAACCAGTCTATTAGCTTTTGAAGCACAATGCATTTTTTTTGCAAAATATACCACATATGTAAAATGGTATACATTACACTTATGTACACCTCAAAGAAAAATAATAGTAATATAGCCACTGCCTAGCTTAGGAATACTACATTTCTTTGAAGTTCCCATGTGACTCTTCTTTACTTCATTCTTAAGCCCCCATAACCTCTATTCTTAATTTCAAACACATTTGTATGATTCTATTTCTTTCCTCATAAAATTGTCTTTGCTAAGAACACTCTGGTAATTCTCAGCTCTGCGAGTTTTCTTTCAAGATCTGTCTCAATCATTGTGTTCTCTTATGAAGTCATATTATTTTTATCCCTCCTTTATATATCTTATCATGTTGCTTTCTTTTAAATGGTATCTTGGGTTCATGTTTGCCTTCTCTTATTAATTATATTATGTATAATTATGTATGTAATGTTGCTTGTGCCTATAGTCTTACAGGAAATAATAATATGTCCTATTTCTCTTTTAATTTCCCACAATGCCTAACATAACACCCCTCCCCCAAGATGTGAGAACATGATGAATAGTTCTAACATGTAATTATTCTTCTCCTTTCTCTCCTAGATCTACTGCCGGGCTCTGAATTCACAGGGCCAAGATTTAGAGAGGCCTCTTGAGCTGAGAGTCAGGGTTTTGGATATAAATGACAACCCTCCAGTATTTTCCATGTCTACATTTATAGGACAAGTAGAAGAAAATTCTAATGCAAGTAAGTAACGTACACTATTAGGTAAACAAGAACACATTGGTTTCCAGGTCATTCTTAATAGCTAGGCAACTACAGGCTAACTGTGTCAAAGTGAATATCACAAATGTAAGAGACAGACTCTAGAAAAGCATACAGAACGGAAAGGCTTTTCCTTCATTCCAGTCTGTCATGTACAAGCAGCACCTCAAAGCCAGGAGAAGCGTTACTCCTACACTAGCTTTTTAGGGAATCCATAACAGGAAATCCCAACAGCACATTGCACACTGGTAGCGGGGCATGGGGATGAGGGTTTAGTCTCCCAGTCTGTATTGAAGGACAATCCCAACCACTCCTGATTTAATGTTTTTTAAACTATTTTTATTGAGAAATAGTATGTATATTTCTTTATGGGGTACATTATGATAACTCAGTACATGTATAATACATTGAGAGTAATAAGCATTTCCATCTCTTTAACCATAAATCATTTTTATCTGTTAAGAATTTTGTGCTCATCTTTTTTTAGTCATTTTGAAATTTATCTTAGGTTGTTTTAATCAATACTTATTCCACAGTGTTAAAGAACAACCATAAGTAATTCCTCACTCTGTGTTTTGGTGCCCTCATTGAACTTCTCTGAGGTCATTATGTTAAGTGAAACAAGCCAAACACAAAGCTACAAATACTATGTTCTCTCTAATTCATGGAAACCAGTAAGTCAACTCTGTAGAAGATGGCAAGGAATAGTGGGCACTGGAGACTGGGAAGAACAGGGGACAGGGGACAGAAAGAAAACTATTTGAAAATCATTCATAGAAATCAATTCCTTACAACCTATTTTGAGGTCAAGAGCAAATAAATACAATACAAGCACTAAAACAAAAGATGGAATCATTCCTTTGAAATGAAAACTTCAGTTTACCATAGGCATTTTTAGCCTTTAACTGGCATGATTTCTTATAATTACAAAAAAACTTTATATTTTATTCTTATCCATTAAAAGACTATACCTATACGTTGAGCTTGTGCAAATAGCATTATAAAAATGCTCATTGTAAAAATTCACACAATAAGGAAAGTAAGAAGAGAATGGATATCCATTCTTTGCTCTCACTAGGGACTATCTTCAGAGGCAAGCTTTGTCATCAGTTACTAGGTACATATGTTTATAGTTACATAAACATAAATAGACATGTTTTTGGATACCACTAGTATCCTCTTTTATGTATAAATCCATGTAATTTTTATTTAAATATATCTTGAACATATTTCCATATCAGAACAAGTAAATTCCTTTACTTCTTTAACAGTTGTATTGCATTTTGTTATATGAATGAGTCATAATTAGTTAAATGCCTAGTGAGAACGTTTTTTAAGTTATACAAAAATGGGTGGGGTGACAGAGACAAAGAAGAAAAGAATATAATTTTCTCTCACTAGCTATTTAATTCTTAAATGAACTCGATGAGGATGGCTTAATTATCATCCCCATTTATAAATGTTAACTGAGAACAAGACGATATAGCTAGGAAGCATTAAATTTGAGTAAAAGTTAATCTAGTCTTAATATCTCTTTGTTTCACCATAAGCATCCTGAACAAAAATTGTATTAGAATAAGAAACAGAATGCCAGAATAATGCATTTTCTTTATTTCCCAACTATCAGTAACATATAGGCTCCTAGTAAAATGTCTTTTCATCAAGACAAAGGTAAAGAAAGAACTAAGATGTTGATATGTTGACTGTATAAAGGGAAGATAGTACAATGCACATTATATGAGCCAACTAACTCTCATGCATCGTTGCATTACCATATTGTAAGAAAAATGTAAATTGTCCATTTGCAATCCATTTTTCTTAATTTCTAGACACACTGGTGATGAGACTCAATGCTACTGATGCAGATGAACCTAACAATTTGAATTCAAAGATAGCCTTCAAGATCATAAGACAGGAACCTTCTGATTCACCAATGTTCATCATCAACAGATATACCGGAGAAATTCGAACAATGAATAATTTTATAGACAGAGAGGTACCTCTTTTTCTTTAAATTGTTTTTTAGTTAAAGGAACTGACTGTGAAAGCAAAGCATTTAAGAGACATAAAAAGAAGCTCATATTTAAAATTTTTAAATATATAACCACTTCACATAATGCTAATGATGTGAGAAATATTTTAAATAAAAATGAGTGTTATTTAATTACATTTTATTCTGACATATCTCATCCCATCAATTATTGAAGATTTGCTTCAATTCCAGGAAACTAAATTACAAAATAATAGAAAAAAATTTGAAGACATTAGGGACAAAAATTCCATTTAAAAAGGTGTATTTTATTATGAAATAAATTAAAGCAATACCTGCTATTATGTCCCCATCTTGGTGAGTCACAATGCATGTGAACAAGATTGAGGCTAAGGAACTTGATTCTTTTCAGTATATCCTAAGCTCTTCTGACAGTAAAACTTTTACTATTTTCTCTCTATGTAATGCCTCTTGACAGCCCACCTTTGGGAAATACATCACGTGATCAGAACAGTCAGTTTCCAGGATGATCATTTCATTTACAAATAAGAGCTAATGATTGCTAACAGAGTAGAACCAGCATTACGTGTTCTCTATCATGTCATGTGGTCCCTTGATTTAATTTTATAATATCTACTTAATTTTTTAAATATTGCCTTTATGTAGAATATAGCATACTTGTATGTAAGTGATACTATAATATATTAGGGATATAAGTGAGGATTTTTTATTTTCTGATTGCTGTTCAAATTCAATTTTAATTTAATAGCAATCTCCCTGGATTTAGGATAAATCAGATTTTTAAAGTATTTTCAACAATACAAAAATTAACAGTTTTTAGGTTACCTCCATCTCATTTTTAATTATTTAATAATTACCATTTGAGGAAACTGATTATTTAGGTTTGTTTTTCTCTCCAACTCTCTTAAGCTTTATTGGTGTCGAGGTTTAAGAAAGGGTCATCAGAAGTAAAGAACTCTGTAGTCATTGGAAACTCTGGGGCCACAAAGACATCTGAAGATGTCTTTACCTATGAGTGCCCTAAAGTTATACCCATAACTGTGAATAAGTATGCTTTCATACACTAGTCTAGGAAAGGGTCCATAGTTTCACCAACTTCTAAAAAATGAAAGCATCTTTGAATAAAATCAAGAAGAAATGATCAGTAACTCCATCACCACAACTCCACCTCCTCAAAATAGAAACCAACCATTTTATTTTTCCTACACACTTGAGGGTTGATTGTTTACAGCATAGAATTTTCATGCCATGCTTCTTTGGTGAACCTTGATCTCTCTCTTGATCTCATCCATTTCACCTTATATAAACTTTTCCAACCTCTGAACCTATTATTATTAATAAGAAATGAGGTTTTTAAAAAGTGTTGCTTCTGATGGAGGGGATAAATTCATGTATGATACATTACAAGGACTTTTTAAAATACCACAGTGTACTCCCAGTACAATAATAAAAAATGAAAAATAAAAGTAAAGAAAAAAGTGTTGCTTCTTTTAAATGATCCTAGACAAGTATTGCTAGAAGTGGAAGGGGAAGCTTCTATATTGATTCATGTGAGATTTATGGGTTACCCCTGTCTTAATCATAGATTTATATAAATGTTGAGCCTGTACTTTAAAGACCTTTACATAAACTAAAGACTGTCTATGCCAGGTGTGACATTTTTTTATAATTTGTACTCTTAGCAATATAGTCAGTATTCTCTTGCTGTAAGAGGCTCAGACCGAGATGGTGGGGCAGACGGCATGTCAGCAGAGTGTGAATGCAACATTAAAATCCTTGATGTCAATGATAACATCCCATACATGGAGCAGTCTTCAGTAAGTATTCGTTCTTCTTTTGGTACTGTGGTATGAACTCAGGGCTTCTTATTTGTGAAGTAGGTGATCTACCACTTGAGCTTTGCTCTAGTTATTTTGGAGATAGGACCTTGCTTTTTTGCCCAGGCCAGCCTGGACCATGATCCTTCCAGTTTAAGCTTCTTGCTGTCCATGGGATGACAGGCATGGGTCAACACATCCAGCTTTTTTCCAAATTTTTTTGCCCAGGTTGGCCTTGAGCCATGATCCTCCCAATCTCAAAACTCCCAAGTAGCTAGGATTACAGTCATACACCACAAGTACCTAGCTTATAACATTTGTTCTTGAAAGTTAAATTTAGTAAATTTAAACCCATTGTATTTAAAACTTTATTTGAAAAATTCTGTTTGTTTGAAAAATTCTGTTTGAATTGTGTGTTTGATGTCACACAATTCAAATATAGACACATACTTTTTCTAGTGTTTATTTATACAATAGGGAAAATGGATTACAACACTGAAACATGAGCTTATAAACACAGATACCATGACTGCATAATGGATATCTGTTAACACCTCAGTGTAAACATGGTAAAGTCCTTCGAGACAGCTCATGTGATTCCTTGCTTCTTGTTTCAGTATGCCATAAGCATTGAGGAGAACGCTCTCCATTCAGAGTTGCTCCAGATTAGAGTCATTGATTTGGATGAAGAGTTCTCAGCAAACTGGATGGCGGTCATCTTCTTTATCTCTGGAAATGAAGGAGGTTGGTTCGACATAGAAATGAATGAAAGAACAAACGTAGGCATTCTAAAGGTTGTTAAGGTACAGTATAATTATTCTAGTTTGTTTTCATCATCTTTTTTGAAAATGTTGAGTTTAAAATAATGTACTTTAAACATTTTACAAATAAGTCCATGAAAAAACAAAAACTGCTTGTAGTTTAAAATTATATGATGTAAAACTTTTTAATATGAAACCTTTCTATCATTTCATGAAAATAAAACTAACTTGAAATTCCCAAAATGTCATATTAATTGAAAGTATTTTAACCAAGAATCTTACTTATACTTACAAAGTATGATTAATTATTAAAGTTAATATTTTAGGAATTTTCTTTTGTGGCAATACTAGGGTTTGTAGTCATGCTTGCTAGGCAGGCATTCTACTCCTTGAATCACACTCTCAGCCATTTTTGCTTTAGTTTTCAGATAGGTTCTCATGCTTTTTGCCAGGGCCAGCCTCAGACTGCAATCCTTTTACCTCCACCTCTTCAGTGGTTGGGATTATAGACATGTACCACCATTCCCAACCTAAGAATATTTTTAAAGCAGATTTGATATGACTTTATAAAACATGCTCATATTGATGCTGTAATTCAATTTCAAAGAACCAAGAATATTCATCGAGTGAATTAAAAGTTACTGATTCCCCAAGTTTTTTTATACAATTAAAATTCAATTATTGGGATTCCAGAATCATACTCCCAACCTCACTGTGGCTTCTGACCAAGGCTTATTAGAAATACAAATATACTAGAAATTTGGTACCAGTCAGCAGTGTTCTCTTCTTTCCCTCTGCATTAATAATCCACCACATTTACCTGCAGAAGAATTTTCTTTCAGATGTGAAGGTAAAAAAAATCTGTTCTCTAGAAAACGGATAGTGCAGATTTCATCTTGTCCAATAAAACTCACAGGCTTCAACTTTTAAATCTGCAGTAGCTGTCCATGAATTGTACGTGAGGCATGCAATGCGTACTATCCATTGTAAAATATAGTCCTTTTTTAAGAGGTCCTTTCTTTTAGAATGCCCTTAGGAAACAGATTCCTATCGAATTTTCATCCCATAGGAATTGCGAGGTCTTTTGCCTCCTTTGTCCTCATAAAATATCGGACACTTATAGTTTCCATACAGTTCAAACAATATTCAGCTATGACATGTCACCTCTCACAGCACCCCTGCCAGTTGTTACATCACACCCAAGTTGCAGATGACGAGATTGAGGCTCAGAGAGAGCATGTAACCTGCTTAGGTTCTCATAGCTAGTAAGTGGTACAGCCAACTTTTCGACCAAGGTTTCATTAGCTATTTTCTTGGTGCTATCCAGAATTTGATATTAGGGAAACTGGTTCATGATCTATTTCACCCCAAATCATTATATTTCTTAAAAACTTAATCTATTTTGTTTTACTGACTTTATCCATGAAATGGGATGATAATTGTTCTCCCAGACACTATGTCATATATTTAATCCTTTGTTATAATTATAGAGAGATAATACATGTGCAATGTGTAGGTAAATATTCTCTTATAAGCTATTCATTAAATTGCAAATAAAACCAACACCTCAATGAAGATTCAAACATTTATCTGAATCAGAAAACTTGATGTATATGAATCTCCTTTTTTTTTACTTCATGTGCTGCCTTTCTCTTTTTTTATTCCTTTTATTCATATGTGCATACAATGTTTGGGTCATTTTGAATCTCTATTTTTATGTAAACTACTCTCACGAAAATGCAGGAAAATATATTTGACACACAGAGGCATAATGGCTTAGTTGTTTTTTAGATTTTATGAATTGTGGATTTTGACATCACCTTTCTTAATGAAAATCACTACTTGATTGTTTTATAATATGAAATTAATTTTTTAGACTACAGTGAGGAAAATAATTATTTCTTTCTATTATATATATTATATTCAATTATTTGACTTTTTCAAAAAGTCACCTTTACAGAAGTGAAATTTCTTCTTAATAGTTCTTTATGGATAAGACTAGTCAAACAGAAAACTCTAATATAGTTGACCTGTACTTTGTTATAAACACAGCTACTTTCTGAGAAACATGAAATAATGGGAGCTAACATAAATTATCTTTTCACGAAAAAACTGCATGGATTTGACCATCTGTGTTAAGTTTTTAATTTGTTTGGTGGGCAATTACAATTCATGTCACATGTTTTCAACCTTTTCAATAATGAATCTAGGATAACTGGTTTCTTCCTTTCTATATTTGTATGTGTTTACATTGAACTAAAGATAAAGAAAGAATAAATTGAGTATTTGTATGAATTTATATTTAATTATAGAATGGTAGTATAAGAAATTACTTTTACTAGTCCCAAAAGACTTCTCTTTCTTCTGGAACTTTTTTTATAGTGAAACTATTCCACTCTGTATTTTCTAGCCCCTAGATTATGAAGCTATGAAGAACCTACAACTCAGTATTGGTGTTAGAAATAAGGCCGAATTTCATCAGTCAATTATGTCTCAATATAAACTCACAGCGACTGCAGTCTCTGTGACTGTGGTCAATGTGGTTGAAGGCTCAGTGTTCCGCCCAGGTTCGAAGACGTTTGTGGTAACCAGTAACATGGGAGCAAACTACAAAGTGGGAGACTTCATAGCTACTGACCTGGACACAGGCCTAGCTTCAACAACTGTTAGGTAAGAATGACATTTTCCAAGTGACCTTTTACCACACATCAAGCTTAAGTACACCTCTTCATTTTAGAACTTTTAAGTACCTGAATTAAAATATTTTTCATTATTTTTGAAACAATCATTCAATTGCAAAAATAGCCAACTACTAATGTAGTTAACTTAAGAAAAGAAAAATTGGTGAAAAATGTTAGGTGTGACCCTGTGAAGATATAATATGTGAAAATAATATATTGAGAAAGTTTTGACACCCGTGTTTATGTATCTTATTGATCAATTAACTGATTATTATGTTATGGTTTTCCCATTCCCCATTCTCACTCTCCTCTTACCCAGGAAAGATTTTATTGGGCTGATATTCCAATTGCAAAGTTGCTCAGCTTCAAAGCAATTAGATTTAGTTAGCTCATTTTGTTTACTTTCTTGAATAAGCAGCACTAAATATTAGTCAGTAACTTCAATATGAAAAAGTAATTGTATTAAGGAAAAAGTATGCTCAACATTTTTAAAAGTTGTCCAAATCCTCCAGGTAAACATGAAAAATTTGCGTGTGCGTGAGCATATGTATTTGCACATATGACTGATCAAGAAGCGTGGAGGACAAAGCAATGCATGTTAAAATTTCTTTATGTTCTCCTCAGCCAGCGCGGGTATTTCCATTCTTGCTTTTATCACACTGGGCTACAGTTGTTGACCAGATTCCTTCACCCCACAGTGAATTTACTAAGAAGACCCTCCTCCTCTCAAACTTCTGTTCCCCAAGTACAGCACAATGCCTGAGGCACAGCGTTAGTTAACCAGTGTTTGTTTCACAAGTATGTGAATGACAAGGCAAACACTAAAGTCAGCGATAAGGAGAGGAGAATACCATGGATGCACAAGGCAAGAACATAGCTTGGAAATCAAACGCAGTCCTGGAAAGTCATTGTGTATGTGGGGAGGAGGAGTGGAAACAGAGAGAGTGTAGGCCAAGCTGATGAAGATGAAGTAACTGTGTTGTTGTTTGTTTGTTAAGAAAATAATTTAGAATTAGAAGCCATCCAGAAGTTGCCAGGATCTAGGTTTTCTGGCAGTTTTGCTGGTACCAAATGGAAATTTCACTCCAAGAATAAGAAGATTATTCTGCTACCCAAGTAGCCATTAAAAAACATTCCATCAGAAATGATTACCTTAAAGTTCATTTGGAAACACAAGAGACTGCAAATAGCCAAGGCAATACTCAGCAAAAAGAGCAATGCTGAAGGTATCACAATACCTGACTTCAAACTATATTACAAAGCAATAACAATAAAAACAGCATGGTACTGGCACAAAAACAGACATGAAGACCAGTGGAACAGAATAGAAGACCCAGATATGAATCCACACAGCTATGCCCACCTCATTTTTGACAAAGGTGCCAAAAACACACAATGCAGAATAGACAACCTTTTCAACAAATATTGCCGGGAAAAGTGGTTATCTGCCTGCAGAAAACTGAAAGTAGATCCATGCCTTTCACCCTGTACTAGTATCAACTCACAGGGGATTAAGGACCTTAACATCAGACCTGAAACTCTGAAGTTAGTACAGGAAAGACCAGGGACTACTCTGGAAGCAATAGGTGTAGGCAAGGACTTCCTCAATAGAACCCCAGCAGCCCAGCAACTAAGAGAAAAGATGGATAAATGGGACTAAATGAAATTTAAAATTTTCTGCACAACAAAAGAAATGATCTCTAAACTGAAAAGACCACTCACAGAGTGGGAGAAAATATTCACTTACTATACATCAGAAAAAGGGCTGATAACCAGAGTATATGGGCAGCTCAAAAAACTAAACTCCCCCAAAATAAATGAACCAATAAAGAAATGGGCAACTGAACTAAACAGAACTTTTCAAAGGAAGAAATCTAAATGGCCAAGAAACACATGAAAAAATGCTCACCATCCCTGGCCATAAAGGAAATGCAAATCAAAGCCACACTAAGAGTCCACCTCTCCCCTGTTAGAATAGCCATCATCAAAAACACCACCAACAACAAATGCTGGCAAGGATGCAGAGAAAAAGGAATCCCTATACAATGCTGGTGGGAATGTAACCTAGTACAACCAACCACTTTGGAAAACAACATGGAGGCTTCTTAAAAAACTAAACATAGATCTGCCATATGATCCAGCATATAGCCAAAGGAATGCAACTCGGGTTATTCCAAAGACACCTGCACACCCATGTTTATTGCAGCACTATTAACAATAGTGGAGTTATGGAAACAGCCAAGATACCCCACTACTGAAGAATGAATTAAGAAAATGTGGTATTTACAAGAGACCACGAATAGCCAAGGCAATACTCAGTCAAAAGAACAATGCTGGAGGTATCATAATACCTGACTTCAAACTATATTACAAAGCAATAACAATAAAAACAGCATGGTACTGGCACAAAAACAGACATGAAGACCAGTGGAACAGAATAGAGGACCCAGATATGAAGCCACACAACTATAACCAATTTGTCTTTGACAAAGGCGCTAAAACTATACGATGGAGAAAAAGCAGCCTCTTCAACAAAAACTACTGGGAAAACTGGTTAGCAGTCTGCAAAAAACTGAAACTAGATCCATGTATATCACCCTATACCAATATTAACTCAAAATGGATCAAGGATCTTAATATCTGACAACAAACTCTAAAGTTGATACAAGAAAGAGTAAGAAATACTCTGGAATTAGTAGGTATAGGTAAGAACTTTCTCAATGGAACCCCAGCAGCACAGCAACTAAGAGACAGCATAGATAAATGGGATTTCATAAAACTAAAAAGCTTCTGCTAAACAAAAGAAATGGTCTCTAAACTGAAGAGAACACCCACAGAGTGGGAGAAAATATCTGCCAGCTACACATCAGACAAAGGACTGATAACCAGAATATATAGGGAACTTAAAAAACTAAATTCACCTAAAACTAATGAACCAATAAAGAAATGGGCAAGTGAACTAAACAGAACTTTCTCAAAAGAAGAAATTCAAATGGCCAAAAAACACATGTAAAATGCTCACCATATCTAGCCATAAAGGAAATGCAAATTAAAACCACACTAAGATTACACCTCACCCCTGTTAGAATAAGCCATCATTAGCAACACCACGAACAACAGGTGTGGCGAGGATGCAGGAGAAAAGGAACCCTTTTACACTGCTGGTGGGAATGTAAACTGTACTAGTTTACATTACAACCACTCTGGAAAAAAATTTGAAGGCTACTTAAAAAGCTAAACATTGATCTACCATTTGATCCAGCAATACCACTCTTGGGGATATACCCAAAAAACTGTGACACAGGTTACTCCAGAGGCACCTGCACACCCATGTTTATTGCGGCAGTATTCACAACAGCCAAGACATGGAAACAGCCAAGATGCCCCACTACTGACGAGTGTATCAAGAAAATGTGGTATCTATACACAATGGAATTTTATGCAGCCATGAAGAATGAAATGTTATCATTTGCTGGTAAATGGATGGAATTGGAGAACATCATTCTGAGTGAGGTTAGCCTGGCCCCCAAAGACCAAAAATCTTATGTTCTCCCTCATATGCGGACATTAGATCAAGGGCAAACACAACAAGGGGATTGAACTTTGATCACATGATAAAAGTGAGAGCACACAAGGGAGATATGAGGATAGGTAAGACACCTAAAAAATTAGTTAGCATCTGTTGCCCTCAACACAGAGAAACTAAAGCAGATACCTTAAAAGCAACTGAGGCCAATAGGAAAAGGGGACCAGGAACTAGAGAAAAGGTTAGATCAAAAAGAATTAACCTAGAAGGTAACACACACGCACAGGAAATTAATGTGAGTCAACTCCCTGTATAGCTATCCTTATCTCAACTAGCAAAAACCCTTGTTCCTTCCTATTATTGCTTATACTCTCTCTTCAACAAAATTAGAGATAAGGGCAAAATAGTTTCTTCCGGGTATCGAAGGGGTGAGGGGGTGGTAAGGGGTGGGTCAGGGGGGGAGAAATGACCCAAGCATTGTATGCACATATGAATAATTTAAAAAAAGAAAATATGGTATTTATACAAAATGGAATTTTATTCAGCCACAAAGAAGAATGATGAATTTTGTCATTCACAAGTAAATGGATAGAACTGAAGAACATCATCTTAGGCAAAGTTAGCCAGGCTCAGAAGGCCAAAAATCACATGTTCTCCCTCATATGTGGATTATAGACCTAAAACAAATGCCATAATATTATTGGACATGGGTCACACACTAAGGGGAGAATGCACACAGGAGGAATAGGGAAAGGTAAGAATATGGGAAGGTGACCAGGAATTAGTTAAGAGGTCTGGTAGAGATGAATCAATTCTGGTTGTAATACATATCTGCATGGAAGCAATTCTAGGAATCTCTCTGTATAGCTATCCTTATCTCAAGCTAGCAAAAATGCTGCCTTTCTTATTATCTCTTATGTTTTCTCTTCAACAAAATTGGAGAAGAGGGCAGAACAGGCTCTGCCTGGAAGCAAGTGAGTGAGAGGGAGAGGGAGGGGGTGGAGGCACGGGGGAGAAATGACCCAAACAATGTATGCACATGTGAATAAATGAATAAGCAAAAATAAAGAAATGGTTATTCAATAATTCTTTGTTCTGCCAGGCATGGTGGTGCATGCCTGTAATACCAGCACTCAGGAGGCTGAGGCAGGAGAATGTAGAGTATGAGGCCAGCCTAGGCTACATAGTAAGACCCTATCTCAAATGATAATAATAATAACTCTTTTTGTTAAATTAAAACTTTGATCTACTTCTGAACAGCCTCATATAGCTGGTACTGCCTGAAAAAAAACTGCTGCAATAATTGAAAACTACTTCCAGGGGTTAAAATTACTAGCTAGAAAAATACATTTTATAATTTAAAAGTCCCTTATAAAAGATAATTGGCATTAATTTGTATTGTTTTCTTTCAAATACAGATATGTGATGGGAAATAATCCAGCTGGCCTGATAACTGTTGACTCAAGAACAGGCATAATCACTTTGAGAGATAGAGTTACCATGGAGCAATATAAAATTCTTGGGGGAAAATACCAAGGAACAATTCTATCTATAGATGGTAAGAAACCAGTTTAACTTATACCTTTTCTGGAGGAAGCTAATATAAATGCACTGAGATATTAACATTTTTATTATTGCACGTGAAAGAAATCCAGTAAAAGTGAACACACTGGGCATTATAGGCTTAAATCTGACCTGAGGCAGTATTATTTAGTAACTAAAATCATGAGCTCTGTAGTAAGGCAGGACTGGTATTCTGAACTATCACTTATTAGTTATAGAGTCTTAGAGAAGCTATTTCACCTATGTATACTCCAATCTTCTATAAAATGGGACAATAACACTATGGATTTGGAAGGATGTGATAATGATGAAATAACAATAGTATGAGCATAGCTGAGTGAAAGGGCATGGGCTTTAATATCAGATAAACTGGATTTACACCTATTTCTGTTACACACCTCCAAAGATTTTGCTTCCTTTTTTTCAGAAAGTATATATTGAGTCCTAATTAAATAGAGCCACTGTTTCAGGTTCTAAGGCTCTACCAATGAAAAGTCAGACACTGAGCTTACATGTATATAAAGCATGAAACAAAATAATCTCAGCCAAATTATTCCTATATTTCCACCCAATAATTCCACTTCCAATAATCTTTGGACAAATATGGTGGAAATTTTATGTACTCAGGTATGTAGATGGAAAAATGAGACCTGTTAAAACTATTCCAGGAATGGAGGAAGAGGGGATAAAGAAGACTGATGGAGGGGGCAAATTCATCTATGATATATTGTAAGAACTTTTGTAAATGTCACAATGTACCCCCAATACAATAATAATTTTAAAAAGAAATGATGTTAATTAAAGTATATGAAAACATTAAAGGATGCTTACAGTTTGAAGTAGAAATAGAAAATGGAATGAACTGTATGACCATACCTATGACTAAGCAACATTTAGATTTTGTAATTAAGGACAAAAGACTATATATATATATATATATATACATTTGGAGGCTGGGTGACTCACACCTGTAATCCCAGATACTCCTCTGGAGGGAAGGGATGAGGAGGATCACAGTTCAAGTCCAGCCCAGGCAAAAAGTTAGTGAGACCTCATATCAACCAGTAAAGCTAGACATAGTGGTATTCACCTGTGATCCCAGCTATGTGGGATGCAAGGTAGGAGGATCACACTCCAAGGCTGGCCCTGGGTAAAAAGCTTGAGCCCCTATCTGAAAAATAATTAAAACAAAAATGACTAGGACATGGCTTAACCAGTAGATCATCTGCCTAGCAAGCACAAGGGTCTGAGTTTCAACCCTAGTACATAAAAAAAAATCATAGTTGTCCTTGGGTATTGCTAGTATAGGTTAGTTTTTTTGTTTTATTTTGCTTATTTCTATACTCTTCAAATTATACATAAATCTAACTATTTATAATGTGAAGAAACCATCTAATACTGTTATTAGTTATAATAATGAACCTAATTATAACAATGGACTAACCACTTGACTTAAAAACTGTGTCATAGACAAGGGATTATGTGGGAAGTTATTGAATTGATGAGAACAAAGACATTGAAATAAGTACTGACACAAAAAGAAAATAGTTCTATATTATCTAACGATTATTACACTAGGTTATAAAATATTTTTTCCATTTTGAACCTTGCTACAGATTCTCTCCAAAGAACTTGCACTGGTACAGTTATTATTGACCTTGATGGTTCTGGCTGGACAACAACAACCGGGGGTGATACTAGCAGTACAAGTACTGACATTGGTACCAACACCCAAGGAAGAGGTGATACCACTACCGACACAGGAGAAATTACTTCCACCAATGGCCCTTATGTCAATACAGGAGATTATACCAATGGCGGTGATGGTGCTGAGAAGCAAGCTCTCCCAGATAATGTCCATTTTGGTCCCGCTGGCATTGGATTACTCATCATGGGATTCTTAGTGCTAGGGTGTAAGTAACAGTTCTATTTGCATGTGCCTCCCAAAAAAATGGTAAGGGAGAAAATAAGCTTCCTGATTTTTTGATGAAATATACCTTACAAGTCCTTATTTTGTGAAATTATCTAGAAATTTCTGTATTTGGTGTTAGGTTTATAAGACAAAAAAAAAATTAAACTTCCTGACCCTTTATAATACAGTAGAGGGCAAGAATGCACTTACAGTCAACCTCAGTGTAATGGGAAAGTCCCAATACAAGCAAGCTCAAATTGCAGTTTGAGTGAAGCAATCAAAGCAACCAAAAAAAAGCTACATAGACAGTAAACTCTGAGTTGAGTTTTAGGACATGAATAAGTGTTAAACTGATGGGCAAAAAGAAGAGAATGCAACACAAGGAGAAAAGAAAATCTATGTGCAAAAACCCTCCAAAAATAAGAAAGCATGGTACTGAAAGAAAGGACTCCCGTGGGGAAGGAAGACAGGATGTGCCTGACAGAGTAGTGACTAGAGTTGGGACTGGAAAGATAGCAAAAGTAGATACTGATGGAATCTATGCTATAGCAAATCTGCACAGTTTAATAAAAAGGAGAGTCAAATAGACATAGATTAAACTCCAGTTTCTAAACTTGATTGTGTGTGTGTGTTTTCAAAGGTTGCCTAACCTTTCTAAGCCTTTCTTTTGCCTGTGAAATGATACTTCCCTCACAATATGGCTGCAGTAGTGGCAAAAAAGCACACCCGTGAAGCACTGAGTGTGTTCTGTGGTCACTAGAGTGGTCCGGTCAGGTAAAGCTAGACTCAAGTGGATGCTCCAGGTGCCCTTTAACATTGCCGGGGATGGTGATGGGAATGAGCGTGGACATGACCCACATGCTACAGCTTCTGAGAAGGGGAGCTCTGAAGTAAATAGCTTGAAATGTGCGCACTATAATTTAGTGCAAACATTGCCATTTTTAGATGGGCATGGTGGTTCACTTCTATAATCCTATAATCCCAGCACTTGGGAGGCTGATGCAGGAGGAACACAAGTTCATGTCCAACCTGGGCTGTACAGCAAGACCCTTCTTCAAGAAGGTTGCCATTGTCAAGTGTAGAATAGTATCACATATTTAATTAAAACACACTGCACGAATTCAGAGCACCTATATATCTTTTCTACCTTCATGTCTCAATGCATGAACAGCTATAAGTAGATGTTTTTCACTAAATTTATTTGAAAACTAGGTCTTCTCAGACTTTAAATACTGACCCTTTGCACATTTTAATTAACATTTTTCAGTGTGAAGCACAAAGAGTTTGGACATACTGTTAGTACAACATATAGTTGAGACTCTTTCCTGTAATTTCAAATATACTCTAAAAACTGAAATTTCTATATTAAGGAATAAGAGCCCATTCTTATTGACAGATAATAAACTGAAATAATGACAGGAAAAGTTCTATGCAAAGGGGAACAAATATTTTTTCAAAGCAAAAAAGAAAAAGATGTAAACAGTCTACTTTCAGAAAGTAACATAAAATATATGAAAACAGATAATCCTCAAAATTTTTAGCCATATTGTTTATCAACCAACATTATAAGACTTTAAAATTTGTTGCTTTATAGTTGCTGACCATCACAACCATAAATAACATATAACTTTCATTTTGAATAACTTTGGCTAATGTTCTTAATGAAAAGATTTTAAAATCATATATGAGCCTTATGGTCAATAGCTGTCACTTTAAAGTTTCCTCTCAGTCTAGCAAATTTCCAAAACAAAGCAAAGTTCATGTAATTCTTTTCCTTTTTTACTTATTTCTTCTTTACCTTCCTCTTTCCCTCATTCCTATCCTTTCTTCCCTTTTGCTTCTTCCTTTTGTCCTTTCTTCCTTCCTGATATTTTGATTTGTACATCTTTTCTTTTTGCCCATCCACTTATTCAAAACTATTTATCAAGATTATGTTGTAATAAAAAGATGATAATAAATGGAATGAAAAAACTCTAATTGATTAACAGGAAGAGAAATTTAGTTAAAGAGTATGATGTTCTCATGGGTGTTGTATAAGAGTAATTTAAAGAAAAGATGTCTCTGTAGGGAACAACAATAACCTCAATGAGAAAAATTGAGTAATTGAATAAAATTTTACTATTGAAATGAAGAAGGATGGGCATATGTGAAAATAGGAGTATAAGTAAAGGCACGAAGGAGAAAACAGAAGAATGGAAAATGCTGCTTATCTCTAGTTTTCTTTCTTCTCTACTATTTCCTTGAGTAGTAGCAGAGAAAAAGAAGTCATCTATTTTAATCATATGATTCTCATTGCATTTTAATACTATAAAACAAATGAAGATTTATTGCAGTCTAGTATTTTGAAGCTCACATTTATTGGGGGATCTGGCCATTATTTAATTTGTCTTCCTAAAATTTTCATAGTAATTTAAAAACTAAGTGAAATTATATTAGGAATTCAAATTTGAACCTAAAAATGAAGTTTTTCTTTTAATATGGCCCAGTGCTAACTCTGCTATTCCTATATTTCTACTGTCAGTGGTCCCATTCTTGTTGATCTGCTGTGATTGTGGAGGTGCCCCTGGTGGTGGAGCCGGCTTTGAGCCTGTTCCCGAATGTTCTGATGGAGCAATTCATTCATGGGCAGTAGAAGGACCCCAGCCTGAACCCCATGTAAGTGCTGATCTGTAAGAATGGGACTTTGGTAGTCACCTAAACTCAGTCTCTACCTATGAACCAAGACGGCAGCAATCATTCAATCTACATTATTCTTTGTTCTGAGATAACTGTTGAGGCAAGGAAGAGAAGTCAAAAGTACATGGAAATTAAATGTAAATGGAGAATGATGGAGGGAGTGAATTCAACTATGACAAATAGTAAGAACTTTTGTAAATGTCACAATGTACCCCAGTACAACAATAATAAAAAAATTAAAAATTAAATAGAAACAAGGGAAGGCTTTCAAAATGAGGTTCAGGTTTCAAATGGAGTTTAAAAGTTTCTTAAATAGTATTCTTTTAGGAAATCTTCAGTAATTTGAAAATAAAACAAATGTATGACTAGAGAAAAAAGAGTCATTAAAAATGAGGAAATGTTCTTTCTTATCTTTTAGGATATAGCCACGATCTGTGTGCCTCAAATACCACCTGGTAATGGGAATATAATAGAATGCATTGACAACTCAGGTAAGAAAAAATTTAAAGCTCAAATGACTGAGAAGGAAAAGTGTTCTTTCTCTTTACATACCTTATTTTTGGATGATCTTGTTTGTCTTTTTAAATGACTAATTTGTAAATAAATGTAGTTCATATTCTTATGTGCTATGTTTTCAAAATCTTCCTCAATGTGAGTCAACTCCCTGTATAGCTATCCTTATCTCAACCAGCAAAAACCCTTGTTCCTTCCTATTATTGTTTATACTCTCTCTTCAACAAAATCAGAGATAAGGGCAAAATAGTTTCTGCTGGGTATTGGGGGGTAGGAGAGGGAGGGGGCGGAGTGGGTGGTAAGGGAGGGGGTGGGGGCAGGGGGGAGAAATGACCCAAGCCTTGTATGCACATATGAATAATAAAAGAAAAAGGAAAAAAAAAGTCTTCCTCAATCATCAGATTTTTTATCTAAAGAGCAAATGTCATTTACCCAAATACATATACACTAATTAAAATTAAAGTACAACCCAATTAAAATAGATCTGTGATTACTAACTAAAGCTAGACTCTTCTTCCACAATTTATTTAATGATTCAAAATTTCTCTGACTTTAAGTTAATTATGATGACAAAGTAGAAAAATATATTCATTCTTAGCATCTACATAAATGTTAACTTAAAAAGGATTTTCTAAGTCTAGGCATAGCCTATATTCCCATAGCCTCAGGAAGCAGAGGTAGGAGGACTGTGGTCCAAGACTGTCCCAGCAAAAGCATGAGACCCTATCAGAAAAACAAACCAAAACAAGCAAAGGAACCGGGGAAGGGGAGGTTCCTCAAGTGATAGAGCACTTGCCTAGCAGGTCTGAGGCCCTGAGTTTAATCTCCAGTACAAAAAAACAAAGGCTAATTTTTTACATAGAAAGTAAGTAGACAAAACACTGTCAAAATCTTTCAGAGCTCTAAGCTTACGTTGTGAGCACATGATGGAGTTCTCCTTGCACAAGAGTAGGACTGTATGAATACAACTTGCCTTAAAGTGGAAATCTAGACCAATCACAAATCATGGAAAAATTAGAATCTTGCTGTCTGTCGGTGGATAACTACAAATAAAAGGACAATTAAAATAACCTCACAGCTATGAAAATAGTTGTATTGTGTTACCTGTACCAAGGTAAATGTTACTAAGTTTTATATTTTTCTCTTAGTCTTCTTCAAAGTAGTAATTGCCACCTTGAACACTCCAAAATGAAATAGACAGAAAACATTTACAACTTGTAGAACTGGATCGGCTACCTTTTAAACTTCTTTTTGCTCCTGATACATCAATTCTTGTTAACGGTTCCAACAACTCCCCACCTCAAAAGCGGAAATTCACTATAGACTCTTATCTCCCTTTTCTTTTTGTTTTTGTCAACTTATGATATTCATTTTAATTACATTTTTAATCCCTAAATGGGCCAGTCTTGTCATTAACATCATTGTCATTTTATATGGTCAATATTTAACCATACTTTTAGAACTGTGCTATATTCTTCCTTTTTTTATTTCTTTTATTCATACGTGCATACACTGTTTGGGTCATTTTCCCCCTTTTCCCCCCGCCCTCTCCCTCTCCCCCTACCCCCTTGCTTCCGGGCAGAAACTGTTTTGCCCTTATCTTTAATGTTGTTAAAGCGAGAATATAAACAATGATAAGAAGGACCAAGGGTTTTTGCTAGTTGAGATAAGGATAGCTATACAGGGAGATTCCTCGCATTGCTTTCCCGTACATATGTGTTACATTCTAAGGTGATTCTTCTCGAACTAACCTTTTCTCTAGTTTCTGGTCCCCTTCTCCTATTGGCCTCTGTCACTTTAAAGTTTCTGAATTAGTTCCTTTGCATTGAGGACATCAAATGCTACCATGATTTTTGGTTTTCTTACCTATCCTCATACCTCTCTCGCACACTTTGTGACCAAAGTCCAATCCCCTTGCTGTATTAGCCCTTGATCTAATGTCCACATATGAGGGAGAACATACGATTTTTGGTCTTCTGAGCCTGGCTAACCTCACTCAGGATGATGTTCTCCAGTTTCATCCATTTACTTGTGAATGATAAGATTTCATTCTTCTTCATGGCTGCGTAAAATTCCATTGTGTATAAATACCACATGTTCTTTATCCATTCATCAATAGTGGGGCATCTTGGCTGTTTCCGTAACCTGGCTATTGTGATAGTGCCGCAATAAACATGGGTGTGCAGGTGCCTCTGGAGTAACCTGTGTCACAGTCTTTTGGGTATATCCCCAAGAGTCGTATTGCTAGATCATATGGCAGATCTATGTTTAGATTTTTAAGAAGCCTCCAAATTTTTTTCCAGAGTGGTTGTTCTAGTTTGCATTCCCACCAGCAGTGTATGAGGGTTCCTTTTTCCCTGCATCCTCGCCAAAACCTGTTGGTGGTGGTGTTTGTAATGATGGCTATTCTAACGGGTGAGGTGGAATCTTAGTGTGGTTTTGATTTGCATTTCCTTTATGGCTAGAGATGGTGAGCATTTTTTCATGCATTTTTTTGCCATTTGAATTTCTTCTTTTGAGACAGTTCTGTTTAGTTAGTTGCACATTTCTTTATTGGTTCATTAATTTTGGAAGAATTTAGTTTTTTAAGTTCCCTGTATATTCTGGTTATCAGTCCTTTGTCTGATGTGTAGTTGGCAAATATTTTCTCCCACTCTGTGGGTGTTCTCTTCAGATTAGAGACCATTTCTTTTGTTGAGCAGAAGCTTTTTAGTTTTATGTAGTCCCATTTGTCTATACTTTCTCTTAGTTGCTGAGCTGCTGGGGTTCTGTTGAGGAAGTCCTTGCCTATACTTATTACTTCCAAAGTGTTTCCTACTCCTTCCTGTACCAACTTTAGTCTTATCTCCCTTTTCATTGGTGCCCAATTGCTTCTTTTTTTATTATCACATTATTGTTGTACATTGTGAGATTTATAAAAGTACTTAGAATATGTCTTAAACTCACCCCCTCCATCAATCTCATTTATCCCTCCTGTCCCCATTCTTAGAATAGTTTCCATTTTTATATATGATTACATAAGATTTCCACCATATTTACCCTCCCACACCCTTTCCTTATATATCATCCCCCCTCCCACTGGTATCAACCCCCAGAGAGGACATGTTTTACCTTCTTGCTCACAGTTTTTGAAAAAAGACATCTTTGTTTAAGATAGTTAACAAGGAGTTTCATTATTATATTGCCATATATATATATATATATATATATATATATCCCCAATTGGTTCGTCCCCTCCATTTTTCTAATTTGTACCCTAGTCCCCTTTTTATGGTGATTTCAACAGTTTAAATTGAAGTATGAAATTCACACTGTCTCCAAACTCAAGATCTTGACTCCTAAGACCATGGGACATATTGAGCATTCTGCCTTCATGGCACTTCTGAAGTCCAAGCCCTCGCCCTACCCCATTACCTCAAAGGCTGCAACAAGCTTCTACTCACCCTCATATCCCAGTGCAAATCTGAGGGTCTCTATGAAACCTTCTCCTCACTGTGGCCATGGCCTCTTCTCAGAAAGCCGGTGGTCCTCATGCTTTCTTCTGGATGCTCTGTGCTTCCAACAGTATGTTGGGGGTGTGCTTATACTGGTTTTGGCCTTTAGAATTTGGGCATTATTACTCCCAAATTTTTCTTAATTTGAAATTAAGCATTTTAGGGCCCAAGTTTTTTAACTTATCTGTGCTCCTCACTTCCAGCACAGAGAAACCTCTCAACAGATAATTACCAAATTAGCAAATTGATTAATAATATTACTTTGAACTCAAATATCACCATAGTTATCTCTTCTTTCTTTGTGTATCCTCTTCATTTTATTTCTTTGCTCACAAATGCATACTTGAAGAAACCCTACATTATAATAAGTTACTTTTAGTTTATAGTACGCTAGAAAAATTAAATTTAATATATCAATGCTTTTAGGAGTTTACACAAATGAGTATTGCAGAGAAATGCAAGATCTTGGAGGAGGAGAGAGAACAACAGGATTTGAACTAATGGATGGAGTTAAAACACCAGCTGCACCTGAGATATGTCAAGAATATTCTGGAACATTAAGAAGAAATTCTATGAGGGAATGTAGAGATGGAGGTCTGAATATGAATTTCATGGAAAGTTACTTTTGTCAGGTAAGACTTCTAGCCAGGTGGCTTCCTTTCCATCTACCATAGTCTAAACTTTCACTAATTCCTGACCTCCAGTTTCATGCACAACCATCCTGCTGCTGCTGAATAATAGTCCTAGGGCTCTGATCGGCAAGAGTCGACTCTCCCACTTGAAAATGGCTAATGGTTCCAAACTCTATGTGACCACAGGAGAAGTCCCTACTCTTCAGCATGGCAATTAAGATTATTCATAAATTGACCCCTGCCTTACACCTCCAGTCACTCTGGACCATCAGCCCCACTTGCTGAGCCCCTTCACCTTGTTCTCAACGGACGACTCACCTCTGTGCTTTGCAATGCTTAGCCCCTCCCAGAGTGCTTTTATCCCATCCTCTCTCTTACAAACTCCTACCCATCTTTCAAGACCCTGTTCAAATACCACTGCCTCTCTGAAGTTTTTACAGTTAATTCTCTCATTCGAAATAGGATTATAGCTTTCTCCTCTGCATTTTGTAGTGCTTTGTTTATACATTTAATAGAACTTACTGTTTCTAAAATCTATTAGCTTACATGTCCACCACCATTTTTAGTGCCTCATTCATATATTCACTACATTAGATTGCAAGTACTAAGCTCAATTCCTGGTACATAGTGAGCATTCAATCAGAGGGCCACAGTACACTTGCAGAGTTTTCAAGAACAAGCTTCAGGTGATGCAAAGAGTGCAGAGCCTGGAGAAGGAGCAGAAGGAGAATTAACTTTTCCATTCCAAGGCAGAGATCCAATTGCCCATGGTCACATACCATGTGATACTCAGTCTTCATCAAGTTCCTACCTCTGGTACTCACAGGAAATACATTTCTGTTCTTCTGCATTCTGAACTAAAATACTTCATTAATTTCATTAATGGTTTAGAGATTATTGATATTTTAAAATAAAATATTAGTTACAGGCTTTCAAATAGCTACTAAAGATGCTTATTGTTGAAATACATAGGAATACTTCCTATTCATGTTCTTATCTAGGAATATTATTTTTTATGAAAAATAGAATTCTTCCCAGAAAGTTTTGCACTTAACAGCTCCAACTAAGCCAGAATTCTCTACAACATCAGTCTCTCTCTTCATTGCAACCTCCAAACAAACATCACTCTATCAGAGACAGCTTCTAAAAGAAGAACCTCCATTGTTCTATCTCTATTCATTTACCCTGCACTTACCACCCCCTGACGTATGTGTGTATGTGTAGTCTGCCTCATCCTACGAAAGAAAGAGGATTTTTTTTTCTGGCTTTGTTCTTTACTTCATAGCCAAATTCCTAACAGAGTGTCTGCCAGATAGCAAGACTGAATAAATATTTTAAATGAAATGGCACAATGTGTTCACTTGCTATAATTCCAATAGTTAACCTGAAAGTTTACAATCCAGTACTATGAACTGAAAAGATCAAGTGAAAGTGCATTTGTCTGTGGTCTTTTCATTTCAACCAGAAGAGATTCTATTTTTAAAAATTGTCTGTGATCACTTCAATTTTGAATTTAAAAGTGACAATAGACAATAGTCAATTTTTCCTGTTGTGCTAAAAAAAGGCACATTAAAATAAACCTTCACAAAACCATCCTATTCATTCCATCTGAAGGAAAGAAAGTACAATCTTGAATGAGCTCATTAACTATAAATACCTTTTTAAGACAAAAAAATTTCAAAATTTTGTCACCTCCTTCTAACTTTTTTATGTGTACAGAATTTTTATATACCCCCTTCTAACTTGGTTCTAAACAGTTCATGCATTTTTGTATGTGATTTTTGTGTCCAAAGTATACTATTTTAAGTAAGTCTATCAAGTAAGTTTTAAAAATCAAAACGCGTTATTGGAATTATAGTTAAAATAACTTCTAACCAAATTCTTCTAAACCTTTATAAAAGGGTTTTTAAAGCATCTCTGTCTAACATGTCAAATGTGTTAGTGAAGGAGATGTGATTGGCACCATCTCTGGTCCTGATTTACATGGAATGTTGAACATTAGAATTTTGTTTTATATATTCCTCTTTGGCAATGTGCTGGAAGAAAATTAATGGTAGATACTGTTATGTTATTAATATGTATTCATAATTTTATTTTCCCTTTTCTCTACAAATTCAGAAAGCGTATGCTTATGCAGATGAAGACGAAGCACGCCCATCCAATGACTGTTTGCTCATCTATGACATTGAAGGCGTAGGTTCCCCCGCTGGCTCTGTGGGTTGTTGTAGCTTCATTGGAGAAGACTTGGATGAGAGCTTCTTGGATACTCTGGGTCCCAAATTTAAGAAGTTGGCTGATATCAGCCTGGGAAAAGAAATTGAATCATATCCAGACCCTGATCTTTCCTGGCCACCACAGACCACTGAACCCATTTTCCCTCAGCAAACAGAGCCCAATCTCCCACCAATCTCCCCGCATTTTGGCACTACCACAGTAATTTCTGAGAGCACCTATCCCTCAGGCCCTGGTGTACAGCATCCTACGCCTATTCCTGACCCTCTGGGCTATGGTAACGTCACTGTGACTGAGTCTTACACCACCTCTGGCACTCTGAAGCCCTCTGTCCACCTTCATGACAATCGACATGCATCAAATGTGGTAGTGACAGAGAGGGTGGTGGGCCCCATCTCTGGTGCTGATTTACATGGAATGTTAGAGATGCCTGACTTGAGAGATGGGTCAAATGTGATAGTGACAGAAAGAGTAATAGCACCAGGTTCAAGTCTACCCACCTCTCTGACTATTCCCACTCCTAGAGAGTCTTCAAATGTGATGGTGACGGAAAGAGTAATCCAACCAACTTCCGGTATGATGGGCAGTCTGAGTATGCACCCTGAGTTACCCAATGCCCACAATGTGATTGTCACAGAGAGGGTTGTTTCTGGCACTGGCATAAGTGGGATTAGTGGCACAGGTGGGATAAGTGGAGGTGGAGGCATAGGCAGCACTGGCTTGGCTAGTACCAGCATGGGTGCCAGTGGTGGAGGCCTGAGTGGAGTTGGAATAAGTGGGGGTGGTGTTGGGCTGAGCAGCCTCAGTGGAGGCGGGGGCCTGAGTAGCAGGATGGGGGGGACAGCCACCATTGGCCACATGAGGAGTTCCTCTGATCATCACTTTAGCCAGACCATTGGATCTGCCTCCCCTAGCATGGCTCGTAGTCGAATCACAAAGTACAGCACAGTACAATATACCAAATAGTAAAGATCCCAGAGCACTGGTTCACTATGATTATAAATGAGACTGAACTCCCATCCCTCAAAGGTAACATTGCAATTTATGATGCACATCAAGGTGCTAAGATCAATGTGGAGCCAGATAAGAAACCACAATGAGAACAACTCATTGCTGGAGGAGATTTCTCCTTAGCATTTTTAAACTTCATTTTTTATTTTAGTACTAATGAAATCATGACAGACAGTGCACTGAAACTTGAAGTACAGTCTTCTTTGTGCTTGAATGGCCTAAGGAGTCATCTTTGCCTCTGTGTGGCCTGTAGTATATTCCAGTATGTTGAATAAATAAAATGTACTCATATAAAAACACTGGCTTTAAGATGGCAGCTTGCACAACTCTACTTACTATGTTTTGATTTACCATGTACCTCAGGCAATATTTAAAAAGAACAAAACATGCAATGTATACTCATGTATATGGGGGAAATCTGAAAAATTCCACCATATAAACCCTGTCCATTTCACAAACAATATAAATAAAAATTCAGTCACAGATTCACACCAGGATTAACCATCAAAAATTTTTGATTACATAGTCAAGTCCACAAACCACCAAGCATTTTTACTTGATCATTCTTAACTGCACTTGACGAAATAAACTCCAAATTAGGGAATGTGCCCTAGAAAGAAAATTACATTAGAGAGTGGCAATAGGGTAGATTTGTTCAGGGTAATCTGGTAATGTCTGAGCCTGCACCAGGCTTCAGTTAAATCTCCTGTGCAGTCAAGGACCTTTCAGATTCTAGTTTGTGTTTTACAATACATGTGATCTTGAAGAATATTGCTTACTTGGTGAGGTTATGGGTCATCATATTCCTTTTTCTATTTACCACTGTGGTTGTGAATTAATAATAAAGGAAAACTTATCAAGTTTACTTCTTAGATTGAAGCAAGTAACAGCTGACATGGTTGTCATCACCAGTGGTAAATCACCTTCTAAGTAAGCAGATGGGAACTGCACTTATATTTTCAAATTGTGTGTTTCAGTATATGTTATTCACTCATATCGACTTCTTTATTACATAGCTCCAAAGTTAAAATGATTTACTTAAGCTGAACTGTGGGGGTTGGGGAGGCTTGCAGTATGGTTAAGCTTTGGGGAATTTTTAAGGGGATCTAAAACTATGTTCTTAGAACATGTAAACTGTTTGCAATAAAGAAAATTAGGAAAGAATTGTTCAGTAAAGTAATGCCATGCCAGTTATTACTTTTAATCGAGTTTAGTACTTTCTTTTAACAATCCTCTGCTGCCATTTTGAAGTGACCAGACAAGAACCTTTATCAGAGTTGATGATATTGTATTGGCAAAAATGAAATAGTACTAGACAAACCCATTTCCCAGTTATCCCACTCCCTAACTAAAATTTTTTACCAGCGAAAATTTTAAACTCTTCACTGGTTCATTAATAAGCTCTTGACTTATAAACGCTGTGATTTGTAAAGAGCTTCCAAATATTATAGTATATTTTTCTAGCTTCAAAATTTAGCAAGGTGGTATTTATGATGTATTATTTCTGTGTGTTTGCCGTATAGTGTTGCCTGATTAAAAATCTCAAAAAAGAATAAAACATTCTAAGAGATGGGTAAATTTACTATTGCATGGTAAAGAATATGTTCTCTCATTTTTAAATACAGTGTTAATAAAAGCGTACTAAAATGAAATTGAATATGACAAAATAAAGTTAGAAAAATATTTCCCCTGGGGTTGTGAATTATATACAGCTTTTTTTTTTCTTCTGACTACCCAAATTTCCCAGGGTATTAGAAGATCAAAGAATCATTATTGAACTTCCAACATTTGTCAGAGGAGGCAGAACTGATTATTTCATCCAGAGCTATTTTAATCTATATAATAGCAGATGAGTTTAATATTTTAAAAGCCACAGTACACATCTTTTTTTAGTTCTGTAGAATATGTAAAAATTTGATGATCTGTAATATGCCAAAATGCAGAGGTATAAATAAAGTACTTCAAAGGGAGTCTTTTATTTCTTTTGGCCATCGCAGGGATTACATTAAGGATGGATTATTTTTTCCAGAAATAAAATTGAAATATATTTATTGAATTATACTTGAGTATGCCTGGTTCCAGGAGTTAAAGGAGTAGAGTTAATTATTAATTAGCTAAATTTAATAATTAATTAAAGGAAATGTTATCTGGCCACAGGACGCTTACTTATCTTAATGTGAAATTACCATCATAACTTTTTTGTTAAGACATATGACACCTTCCAGAATATTTTTTTGGATCATGTAACACATAACAGATTGACCATCTTTGAAAACTGCTATTCTTAACATCCATTAGTTACATAAACCCTGGAAGACACAATTTTAAAGTGAAAGTATTTGTCATCCATCTTTCTAGGAAGGTACTTTCAAATCAATTTTTTTCAGTATTGCACAATTTAGTTCAAAGTTTTACAATTACCCTTTAAGACATCATTGAAGGGCACATTTTTGAATGAGCAGCCTTTGGGCAGAATTTCATTCTTCTCTTTTGAAGCTTTACTCTAATTCACACACGTCATTTTTTTCTTATTTAATTGTAACCAAAAACATATGGAAATATTTTCATAAATAAATAGCTGTAATTTAGGACCATATTGTAAGCTGACTCTCACATCAACTTGCTCTTTTGTAAGCTGAATCTCACATCAACTTACTCCTAAACTGAGAGGAGTAGATAGCAATTTAATGTAACACATATATGGTTTAGAAATAAACCACAACTCTTATACAATACTGACTCTAAAGAGGTAGTCCTCAAGAGCAGAAACCTAGTGTATTATAAATGCTTTCTCATTTACTATCAACCAAAATGCCATGTGAAGCTGATTTTTACATTAATTCAGATATATCTGCTACATATTACTTACTTCTTTACATGCCGCCTCATCTACTGTATTTGCACTGACGTTTTTAAAGAAAAATATCTTTTTAGATTTACTTATATGCCTTCATCTGGACATGTTCTACATTTATATTTAAGCTTTTTAGCCTCAAAGTTTTCATTCAGTGCAATATTTTGACAAAATTCTAATTATGAGGGCCTGGGGTGTGGCTCAAGTGACAGAGTGCTTGCTCAGCAAACACAAGGCCTGAGTTCAACCCCCAGTACCACAAAAAAGAAAAAAAATTACGACCATTCAAAAAAGTTACACTACTGCATTTAGTGGATGTTTTATGTCCCATGATTTATTTCTGAATTCCTGCCAAGATTTGATTGTCAGCCAATATATAATATGTACGATACCCTGTAACTTAAGTACTTAGTGCATTTCACCATGCCTGTTTGGTAAGTTAAGATCTTTTGGGATGATTTCTGATAGTTTTAAGATCTATCTATGATAGATCCCTAGTGCAGAGGAAATATAATCTGTCTTCTCGTTTCAGATTATTTAATTTGTGCTAGGACAAATTCTCATTGGGTTAACCTATTATTCATCAAATGCTTTAAAAATAATGACTAATTTATTGTTCAATTGTCTGCATTCACTCCCATTTACTTATATTGTACTTGGTTTAACTTATTTTTCTTTTGCTTTTTTCCAAGCATTTTTAATCTCATATTCATCTTTGGTAATGTTTAAAACAAGGTGCTTTCCTTCAAGTTTCAATATAAAAGTTTTTGGATTATTTGGGTGCTAGTTCCTTGCTCCATCATCTACTGGCTATTTTGAAACAATTTGTAATTTCCAAAGCGTTGTGTTTACAGCAATAAAATGACTGATATGCCTCTGATATCTTTCTGAATTACAAGGTCGGGGGAGGTTTTAGAGTATAAGAAATAATTAGAAGGTCCTCAAATCAAGTTATTATTTCACTCCATATTCAGAGAGATAACTATTTTATTTCCACAATGTTGAAGTATGTTTTCATTCTTCGTTTCCTTGATTCCTTTTCCCCCCATTTCCTGGGCATCCTACACTGTGGAGTATTTCTTAGTGATAGCAAACATAGCTTTGACCAGCTGGTTATCCTCACTCAGATGAATAGATGTTAAAATCAGCTTGCATTTTAAACTTTCATTTGATATTTTCAACACTGATATATCTTATATTCATTTTACACTTTTACTTTTTATTTCATGCTCTGTTTTCTTTTTTATTTTAGTTTCATTAGTATTTTATTTCTTCTAAAATTTCTCTTAAAATCGTACTCTTTCATCTTTAAACAAGCCACGTGGCTACTGGGATGCAGAACACTTCTGGCAGAGGGGTATTTAAGAAAGAACAAGGACACCTGTGGCTCTAGAGAGAGTTACAAAAGGAAAGCAGGAAGGGATGAGATCTGAGAGGTAACAAGGGATAAGACCAAGTTTGACCTTACAAGCCATTGTAAGACTGACTTATTCTGAGAGTGATGATCCACTGGAAAGGCTGAGATGAACAGTGCTCAACTGAGATGTGTGTTTTAAAATACCACTCTGTCTACAGTTTTGCTGCTCATAGAAAGAAATCACAGAATCAAGGAGTTTGGGCAGAAAGGCACTGTAATGATCCAAGTGAGTGATTGGACCATAGCTTGGTAGCAAAACAAGTGAGAAAAACAAAACAAAAATCCTAGAGAGGTCAACAGAGCAGTATGCAGAAAGAAGTTGGATATAAACTCACTAAGCAGAAGAGTAAATTTAAATCTCATTACAAATTGCTCAAAAAATCCAAGGATAATAAGCAAGTTTTAGGTTGATCACAAAGGTTGAAAATGATGCCAGTTTCCAGTCATGTACTTGGTAATTGAGTTCAAATAAAACAAATTCCTCCTGATCGTGGCAGGCTTACTTTTCTTTGCTTGACAAAGAAACCTTATAAACTTCATAGATATCAGTCTGTGCCCATTTCCAGTCATAATCCTTCTTGCTGAACCTCTTATACAAAACTCAGGGAGAAAAGATTCTGCCTCCAAAGCATTCCCAGAACTGTTTAGAATATCAGCTCTGGTTCTCACCAAAGTTCACATCTA